ATAAAAGGAAGCGCCATTTAATCTGAGTGTGAAAAAAAGGTATTTTTAAGAGAACCCACTGCCAGACCATTTATTTCAATAATGATCTTTTCATAAGATTTGCATTTAACACATTTCATCCATGTTATTTACCTGTAAAAGCTTCCCTTACGTAGACATCCAGAAGCTCCGAGACTGCTGCTGGTCACCGCCATCTTGGATGTGATGTCAGCAGCCCCAGCAGACTTAGGCCCTGTTCACATTGAGCGATTTATCGTGCAGTAATTCCTGCGATATCGCAGCAATTTACCGCGCGATATCGCGCTCCAAAGCTTGGCAATGGGGCAAAGGGTCCTGCTGTCGCGGGTCGTGTGTCGCTACAGCAGGACCCTTTTTGGAGCGGATTTAGCCGCGATTCAAGCTTGCGCAATATGCAAATCGCGCGACAAACGCGCGATCTGCAAACCGCTCAATGTGAACGTAGCCTCAGAGCTGTCACTCAAGGAACATTCTCTACTAATGATTAATTGGACACTCCCGGAAGAGGACTATGATGTGTAAAGGTGCCCATACACCTTACGATTATCGTACGATAATCGTATGCGATTGCTTTTTCGTCCGACACTCGCAAGGTGTATGGGCAGTGTGCAACCGCAAATACTGTACAATCGTACGACTTTTGACGGTCAAGCATGTTTGAAAACGTTGGTAGATCGTACGATTATTGCAAGGTTGGTGGCGTTTCCGTATGTCAAAAATCGTACCATCTACACTGCTCATGCGCAAACGAAATTACGTGCGGTTGATTACCGCAATTCGTCCAGGTGCTTTTCTTAAATTACGGCTAATTGAACCTTGCGATAATCGGGGCCTAATGGGGCCGCCATATGACAATCGTACGACGGTTCAATCATCGTTCGATAATCGTAAGGTGTATGGCCACCTTAAGGGGGGAGGGGGTTGTGTTATAGAATTTACTTTCTTGGCGTATTCAAATTTTCTAGCAAGTTCAGAGGTACATTGCAAGTCAATAAAAAATCATTTATGGAAAACAAAAACACTGCAATTTAGGCATTAAAAATACTTGCTTTTTCTGTGCCTTTAACTCCAGTCGGTCAAGTTGCTGACGGCTCATTTAAGGCATTTTCAAACAAAAATTTGACAAAAATCAAAACACGTGGGTGTACAGTACTGTTGTTCGGGATTTATATAGCGCCAACAGTTTGCACTGCGCTTTACTATAAAGGGGTAAAAGGGGTGAGACTTCAGTTGGGATTTTATTTCAGCTGACAAAAAAAAAAGCATGGGCCCCTAAAGGGTAGTTCCGTTGTATCACCAGAAATAAGATTACTAGTGTGTGACGGGGTCCCAAACTTGTTTTCAGCCTTTGAGTCATTTAGTAAGTGGAGGTGAACGCTGGTAAGTATAAATAAAAAGCACTAATCCGTCCATAAGGATGTGAAAAAGACAACAGTCTTCGAGTGGCTTTTGGGGCAATGATATGTATAATAGAGCTGATGGGTAAATACTCAGGCACTGAACATGATAGACAGCTTCTCAAAACCATCTTCTTATTTGCTATTGCAAAACTGTAAATTGTGTGTTTTTTATAGTTATGGCTAAGTAAAAGATTTTCCATTGTACCAAGGAATGACTGTGTAGATATTCCCACGCATTTCATCTCAGAATAACACATTTTTTTCCAACCACAAGGACAAGTTGTAAATTTAGCTCTTAAAATATATGGAAAGTAAAGCATTGTTTCCTTTGAATAAAGCGGGGTACAGTTAAACCCTGTCAGTTAATTTTTTGTGTGCCCTGTTGGGGGGAGCTTCATTTTGTAGCCCAAGTAGGAGGAAATCTCTCCAAAGGGAGTCAGTGAAGCAGGTGTCCCAATTGGATGAATTCCCTTTTTATCTCGCATTCCTGCGACAACTTTAAAATGGTGAATCTCCCCAGTGAGGGCACAAGCAGCAATAAAAAAAACTGATGGGGTTTTAACCCTTTCCAACTTTTTTTTTTCTGAAACTTTAAAAAAAAAAAAAAAGATGATACCTTTCTTATACTGTATATATAGATATATGTGTGTGTATATGTATCTAGATACAGTATATTACAAGCTTATAATACATGAGATGGTGCCTGAAAGAAAATCTTTGTCAACTTTATTTATATAGAGCTTCACATGCATGCATACACATTCTAGGTCCAATTTTATATAGGTTCCAATTAACCTATCAGCATGTTTTGATGTGTGAGAGAAAACCAATGCAAGCACAGTGAGAACATTCATGCATATAGTGTTCTGACCAAGATTTGAACTGAAGAAAGAAGTGCTATCTGCTAAACCTGAACATTCAATGTTTTTTTCTTGCTTGGCTCCATGGGCTGACCGAGCAGAAATGTTTGATTCCCTCAGCCACGCTAAACAGCGGGAAAAGGGGACCCTGCCAGGCTGTTGTAGTTTCACAGCAGCCATTGTCAGAATCAGGGCCGGCCTTAGGGGTGTGCGAGCCGTGCTGTCAGGTGGCCGAGCGGGGAGGAGATCGGAGCCGCTGTCATCCTGCCAGTTTCAGGATGACCGCGGCTCTGTGCGTGGCTGAGCGGAGGATCGGTAAATATCACTGATATTTACCGATCCTCCGCTCAGCCACGCCCAGAGCCGCTGTCATCCTGCCAGTTTCAGGATGACCGCGGCTCTGTGCGTGGCTGAGCGGAGGATCGGTAAATATCACTGATATTTACCGATCCTCCGCTCAGCCACGCCCAGAGCCGCTGTCATCCTGCCAGTTTCAGGATGACCGCGGCTCTGTGCGTGGCTGAGCGGAGGATCGGTAAATATCACTGATATTTACCGATCCTCCGCTCAGCCACGCCCAGAGCCGCTGTCATCCTGCCAGTTTCAGGATGACCGCGGCTCTGTGCGTGGCTGAGCGGAGGATCGGTAAATATCACTGATATTTACCGATCCTCCGCTCAGCCACGCCCAGAGCCGCTGTCATCCTGCCAGTTTCAGGATGACCGCGGCTCTGTGCGTGGCTGAGCGGAGGATCGGTAAATATCACTGATATTTACCGATCCTCCGCTCAGCCACGCCCAGAGCCGCTGTCATCCTGCCAGTTTCAGGATGACCGCGGCTCTGTGCGTGGCTGAGCGGAGGATCGGTAAATATCACTGATATTTACCGATCCTCCGCTCAGCCACGCCCAGAGCCGCTGTCATCCTGCCAGTTTCAGGATGACCGCGGCTCTGTGCGTGGCTGAGCGGAGGATCGGTAAATATCACTGATATTTACCGATCCTCCGCTCAGCCACGCCCAGAGCCGCTGTCATCCTGCCAGTTTCAGGATGACCGCGGCTCTGTGCGTGGCTGAGCGGAGGATCGGTAAATATCACTGATATTTACCGATCCTCCGCTCAGCCACGCCCAGAGCCGCTGTCATCCTGCCAGTTTCAGGATGACCGCGGCTCTGTGCGTGGCTGAGCGGAGGATCGGTAAATATCACTGATATTTACCGATCCTCCGCTCAGCCACGCCCAGAGCCGCTGTCATCCTGCCAGTTTCAGGATGACCGCGGCTCTGTGCGTGGCTGAGCGGAGGATCGGTAAATATCACTGATATTTACCGATCCTCCGCTCAGCCACGCCCAGAGCCGCTGTCATCCTGCCAGTTTCAGGATGACCGCGGCTCTGTGCGTGGCTGAGCGGAGGATCGGTAAATATCACTGATATTTACCGATCCTCCGCTCAGCCACGCCCAGAGCCGCTGTCATCCTGCCAGTTTCAGGATGACAGCGGCTCCGATCTCCTCCCCGCTCGGCCACCTGACAGCACGGCTCGCACACCCCTAAGGCCGGCCCTGGTCAGAATACTGGAACAGTTGACTGCAGACGTGGTCAGGCCAAGATTTGTCAAATTTCGGCCTAGTTAGCAGAACGTGGCTAAAATTGGAGCAGTGAATGGCCAGTTTAGGCCACCGCACTGCATTTTAAAGTTTTTTATTCTACAAAAGTAAAAAGGGAGAAGCCGAAGGCTATATGCCAGGTGTGGACAAACTAATATGGAATTCAGGAAGAAGCTGATGGCTATATGCCTGGTGTGGACAAACTAATATGGAATTCAGGAAGAAGCTGAAGGCTATATGCCTGGTGTGGACAAACTAATATGGAATTCAGGAAGAAGCTGATGGCTATATGCCTGGTGTGGACAAACTAATATGGAATTCAGGAAGCAGTCTTTCCAATCCAGGAGCCAGCAGGATTTTTTAGGAGCTAGCTCCATTGACAACAACTAGAGAGAACCTAAAACTAGAGCTAGAGCCAGCTCTCATTTTTAAGGAGCATTGGCTATCTGGCTCTTGGGATTTGTCCAGCCCTGCTATATGCAATATTGATTTGTTGTGATTTTTCATTTATGAATCCCCCCCAACAGTCTGGAAATGTAGCAGGGTCTTATTTGTGACAAATAAGTAGTCTTTAGCTTGAGGAATCCCATAGATCATGTGGTGTCCAAGGATGGCTTCAGCCTGTTCCTATTGAGTGTACATAAACGAGAGATGGTGTATACATGGCTAATCTACATTCCAATACTTGACCAGGAGAACACCTTAAATAAACCATTCATGTCTGGGCTTGTGCGAGGTTCTGAATAACACTTGAAAGGGCAATTTCATCCAATTGCATTGCAGCTACATTACTATAATTGTGCAGCCGTATATATGCTGTAAATCTATTGCTACCGTATATGCATCCTCATTTCATTTTAATTGCTGTGTCTGAATTTTTAACTGCCTGACCTAAGTGTACATAATACCATCAAACATTGTAGCTGTGTCACTCCTCTTAATAATGGGATGTTATTTGAATACAGTTAGGACTATTAAATCTCTCAACATATAATTGCATTGCCACGTTTTGCGGGATCTGGTGGGACTTTTTCTGCCTTGTTTTGGATAACCTTCTTTTGAATTCTGTATTTAGTTTGGATTTTCTATGTCCTATCTGACATTTGCAATCTCTACAGGTTTACAAGATGACGAGGATTTGAAGTTTATTTTGGTGGGAAGTCCACTGTCCAAAGTCAAGTCTGCATCATGGCAAAAGTCAAGGTTTTACAAGTTGCAAGAGGACTGCAAGACTGTCTGGCATGACTCAAAAAAGATCTTAAAGTCACCTGAGTCCCAAACATGTGAGTAGATGATAAAGGACATTTATATTGAATTTAAAGCTGGAGTAACAAAAATATAGTCATGTGACCTTTTTTTCTTTTGCAGGGACTGAAAAAGATTGTTTCTTACTACTTACAGTGTTTGTCAGGCCAAAATATGTTTGTTTTTTTTAGTTTTAAAAAGGGAATGGAAGGATCAGTACTCCTGTTGGATCGCTACTGTTATCTGGGGCTCCATTACAGACATTTCCTCTCATTCCCTGTTCTGTGGAGCATGGTTTTACCAGACAGGAAGTGAGAGGAGTTCTGCAACAGGGTCACAGACTGAAATTAAAATCCGACAGGGGGTTCTGCCTGCCCCTTATGTACCAAAGAAAAGCATTTTTATTTCTGTATGTGTCACTGTTGGAGTTCCTGTCTGGAGGGGATGGTTTATCTCTCTACAGGAGCCCCAGATAGCAGTAATAACCTGACAGAGGTTCTAACCCTCCCCCACTCTATCCACAAATAAAAAAACAAATTTGGCTTGACATTTTTAAAGTGATATTAAAGCCTTTTTTATATATATATATATATATATATATATTAGGGATGCGCCGATACCAGTTTTTCACCTTCCTTTCGGCCTCTGCACAGCTCCAAGGACCTTCTCAAAACTGCTGTCGGCCCAGGTGGCCATATTACGCACTTGGGGAATTCAAGTGTACCACTACCTGGACGATCTATTGGTCTTAGCCAATTCCAGGTCTCAAGCGATTCTTCATCGGGATCAAGTTCTGAGGTCTTTGAGGTCTTTCGGTTGGCTGGTGAACGATCAGAAGAGCTCTTTGAGGCCGTCCAGGCGATTGGAGTATCTGGGGGTTGTATTCGACACAGACCAGGCCAAGGTCTTCCTGCCCCTCAAGAAAGTGAGGACGGTCCAGGGCAGGGCTGCAGCGATGATGCGGACACCAGGTCCTTCGGCACGACAATGCATGAGCTTTCTGGGTCTCCTCTCTTCCACAATTCCAGTGGTGCCTTGGGCAAGATGGCGCAGGCGACTGTTCCAATTCAATTTTCTCCAACAGTGGGATCGCTCGTGCCTTATTCAACGGATTCATCTGCCGGAGTTCGTTCGCAAATCACTGGAATGGTGGACGGCGGAACCGAATCTCACTCTGGGCAAGTCCCTGGAGACGATCCAGTACATACCCGTCACCACCGATGCCAGCGCAAAGGGCTGGGGGGCGGTGTGTATGGGGCACCGGGTGCAAGCTCGTTGGCTGGGTCAAGTTCCGGAGAGTTCAAACGTGTTGGAACTGGAAGCAGTTCGGGAAGCTTTGAAGGCGTTGTGTCCTCTAATCCGAGGGTCGGCAGTAAAAGTCTTCTCAGACAACAAGTCGGCAGTAGCCTACGTTCTGAAGCAAGGGGGGACGAGGAGTCTTCCTCTCCTTCAGATAGCGGTTCAGATATTCAGGTGGGCAGAATTAAATTTGCACGACCTGACGGCATGTTATCTTCCGGGGATAGACAATCTCGAAGCAGACAGCCTGAGTCGAGACTTTGCAGACCACAACGAATGGTCGATGAAGGGATCTTATCTGATTCAAGTATTTCATCGGTGGGGAGTTCCGGAGATCGATCTGATGGCAACAGCCTCAAATGCAAGAGTCCCAAACTTCTTCTCGCGGTTTTACGACCCGGCAGCTCTGGCGCAGGATGCCCTCAGTCAGCAATGGAATTACGGTCTAGTGTACGTGTTCCCTCCGTTCTGCATGATTCTCAAGGTTCTTCTGAAGGTCCGCATGGAGGGGGTGCGGGCAATTGCGATCCTGCCCTACTGGCCGAGGAGGCCGTGGTTTCCACTGTTGTGGCAATTGAAGGTGACAGACCCGATGGAGTTGCCCATGAAGCAGGATCTGTTGGAGCAGGCAGGGTTCAGGCATCCAAATCTGAGACGTTTGCGGCTCATGGCCTGGCTACTGAACGGGGCCGTTTAGAAGGTCTGGACATCTCGGAGTCGGTCATCCAGACGCTGTTGCAGGCGAGGAAGCCAGCCACGAATGCGGTGTATTCCCGGGTGTGGGCCAGATTTCAGGCGTTTGCAACGGAGAGGCGATTTGATCCCCTCGACGCTTCGGTGGGCAAGATCTTAGAGTTCCTCCAACGGGGGTTGGACTTAGGATTAAGTTACAATACCTTGAGAGTGCATCTGTCGGCTCTGGCATCTCTCACGGGCACCAGGTGGGCCTCACAGGCTCTCATCCTCCAATTCATGAAGGGAGTGGCCAAGATCCGGCCTCCTAAACGGGCACTGTTCCCGAAATGGGATCTTACGTTAGTCCTGAAGGCGTTGTTGCAGTGTCCGTTTGATCCAGTGCAGTCTTCTTCCATGTGGCATCTAACTTTACGCACCATCTTTTTGCTAGCAATCGCTTCTGCCAGAAGGGTATCAGAACTTCATGCCCTGTCAATCAGGGAACCATTCCTCTTGCTTCTTCCAAATAGAATCCTGTTGAGGCCTATGCCATCCTTTCTACCTAAGGTGGCGTCCAGTTTCCACAACAACTGGGAAATAGAGTTTTTATCGTTCAATTCTTCACAGCTTCCTGAAGAGGAGTTGGAGTACAGTAAATTGGACTTGGTTCACAGTCTCTCCTTATACCTAGAGAGGACTGCGGAGTTCCGCAAAGTGGATAACTTGTTTGTTTTGCCCACGGGCGTGAAGAAGGGCCTGGCGGCGCCTCCTAGAGTTCTGTCAAGATGGATTATAAAGGCGATATCCTTGGCATACACGAAAGCGGGTCTTTCCCCTCCAAACGCTGTGAAGGCTCATTCCACGAGAGGTATGGCGGCCTCATGGGCCAGTTATGCAAGAGTGCCAGTCGATGCCATTTGCAAAGCAGCCAGTTGGAGCACTCCGAACACTTTTCTCCGGCATTATAAGATCGATGTTCGTTTTGGCACGGAGGATTCCTTAGGTGTATCTGTTCTTTCAGCAGCCTTCTCTACAGGGGGTGTCGTTTAGTCACATTAAATACTTTTTGCAGATTCATAATCGAGTTTCACCTGTATTTCCTACAAGGAAACCCACTTTTGATTGAGGCTGTTGCTGTTTTTCTTTAAAAAATGTTTAATTCCTCGTTTTCTAGTGGGTCCCCGCAGCGGTCTTCCCCCTGCATGGGTGCCTCCTTCAGCTAATAGAGGCGCTGGTGGCTGTGTGTGTCCATAGACACACACAGCCCTGTGGCAGACCACGCCCCTCTCAGCCCAACAGATTGATGGCTATGGCTTCTTTTTGCCATCAGTATCCTCCCCCAGCAACCAGGAAGTTTGGGAACGGAGGATCGCTTCTGCACCGGCGGCGGGGACGAGCGTAGCTGACAGGTAAGTGTAGGGGGTATGGGGGGAGAAAAAAAAGGTACTGGGCCGTTTTTACCCTAATGCAGAGAAAGCATTAAGGTAAAAAATGCCCAGACCATAATACTACTTTAAGTAAAATCATTGGATGTAATCTGGAAAAGGCCCCGCTCACAATGGGGCGGGAGGGGGCTTGCGCCGCCATTCATTTCAGTGGCACCGTAGACGCACCTCCTGCCTGCAGTGCAATTGTACACACTGGAACGCATGGTACAGCAATGCCCTGCATTCTAGTGCGGTGCGATCACAATTTTTTTGATATTGCAGAACGCATTGCACTGGAAACGCAGGTGTGGGCGATCTCATTGCAAGCGGGAGGCTTGTTTGCGGTGCCATTGAAATGAATGGTACCGCCACACCCCCTCCCGCCCCAGAACGCGGGGAGGCTTTGATTATGCAATTCATGTCACGGAACTGTGATATGAATGCACTGGATGGTGTGAACGAGCCATTAGACTTGTTGTTTTCCTCATTGACATTCTCAAATGTTCTTATTGTGTGAAACAGGAATAACACTAAACTAGAGGAGCAATTTCCTATTAAATTATGTTTTGTTAGGATAAAAAAGCCTCACATAATACTGGCAGATTCCCATTGAGTTCACTCATGTATGTATATTAAATCAAAGCTACACCCAAGTGATATGGGTGAGTGAGGTAGTGTGACAAATGACAAATTATTCTGTGGCCTCTTTCTGTGTTCAGTTTTTGCTGTGTACACCTAATACAGTTGGAAATCTCCATGCAGAATGTGTGCGAACCCTTTTTAATGAATTACCATAAAGCATAACAATGTATTGCATCTGAGGCCTCATACACATAGGCGTACAAATATGTGCGTCTAGATGTGTTTGGAGCACATTTCTTGCACATTTGGCAGCATGTAATGCTTTTCTGTGGCTAAATGCACACCTATACATTGTCAGTGTGTCTTTTTTTCACTTATATAAATGTAACATATACCACCGAGGCTTTCACTGTTCTGTTCCTAAAGGGATCCTATTGCACAAAATTGTAGTTAAACCCCTTATTACCTGTAAAAGAATTCAATAATTTCTCAGGTTTCCTGATGCCCATGGTTCTGAAAATCCTTAATTCACAAGTTCTCACCCCCCGAAAGCAGATGTGGCTTCAGGGATCACCGGTATCGCTACTGTATCCTACAGGGGCAAGGTAGCTTTAAAGTAGACCTGATCTCAAAAAGTGAACATTTGCTGTCAGGCCTGGTTCACACCTGAACGTTTTGTAGCGCGTTCAACGCTCGACGAACGCTCTACAAAACGCTCAAACATCTCAATCCCATTGTATTCAATGGGTCTGGTTCACACCTTGCCGTATTTCCGCCCGTCCGAACCCGATACAAAACGGCCTACGCCCAAAGAAGTACATGTACTTCTTTGGGGCGTTTTGGTCTCGCGTTTCCATTGGGATACAGCCAAGTAGCCCTCGGAAACGGGCGTTTGTCGCGCGGTTTTTTAACCGCGAATCGCGGTAAAAACGTGCGACAAACGTGCATATTCAATACGCCTAAGTGTGAACCCAGCCTTAGAGAACATTTAGAAAATGTTCACAGGACCTAAAAAGCACCCTGAAAACGGATCCTTCTTGCCCTGAATTATTCCT